ATTCAAAGAGTAGAAACAACCTAAATGCCCATTTACTGACAAAAAACAGATGTCGTATGTGTTCAATGGTTATTACTCAGCAATAAAAAAGAGATATATGCCACAACATGAATGAATCTTGAAAACATAATGCTAAGTAAAAGAAACAGGCACAAAAGACCATGTATATTATTTCATTCATATAAAATGCTCAGAATAGGCAAATACACAGAGACAAATAAAGATTAGTGGTTACCTAGAGCTAGAAGCTTGAGAGAATGCAGAAGTGACTGATAGTGGATTTAAGGTTTCTTTGTGAAGTCATTAAAAATGTTCTTAAATTGATTGTGACAAAAGCTGTACAACTCTTTACTGAAGCTACTGACTTTAAGTGAATAAACTGTACAGTTTGTGAATTATGTGAATAATAATGAACTATTACCCCTGGTCTATTCTATAGTTTACAAAAACATTAGGCCGGGCTGAGTGGCTCACTCCTGTAACCCCAGCACTTTGGGAGGCTGAGGCGGGTGGACTGCCTGAGCTCAGGAGTTCAAGACCAGTCTGGGCAACACAGTAAAACCTCGTCTCTACTAAAATGCAAAAAATTAGCCAGGTGTGGCACTGTGTGTCTGTAATTCCAGCTACTCTGGAGGCTGAGAAAGAAGAATAGCTGGAACCCGGGAGGCGGAGGCTACGGTGAACCAAGATCACACCACTGCACTCCAGCCTGGATGACAGGTGAGATTCCATCTCAAAAAAATAATAATAATAATAACTATTTCCTCTTCTTTTAAATATTTACAAAAAAATTCTAATTTTAAATTAGTTTCTAATTGTTTTTGCTGTACTATAATAAATACAATACCTGAGTACTGTCAGTTTTGACCCAATTTTTAAATGGCAAAGAATATAAAATGGTAAAACAAAAAAAAAGGATAAAACTTTGTTGCACATGTCCACTCTTTGAATTTTGTTTACCTTTTTGCAAGTATAGGGATATACCATTTATTTTCATTATTTCTACGGCAAAAAGTAGTAAGAAAATTGGTAAAACTTCAAGAATATATTCCCTGTCATTCCCTGTGATATTATATCATTAGTATCACAGCCAGCAAATCCTGAAACCTATGTAGCTATACCTCCTCCCTCCATGGAAAGATCCTTCAGGAAGGAACACAGTGGCATTAAAATATATCTACTTTCTCCTAATCTTGGGGTTAAGATGAATAAACATGGAGGGATTTACACCCACATTTCACTTTCAAGGTCAACAAGGTTGCTTGTCATACTTTCTGCTACACTATCCTTATCTTCTTTCTTAGAAGCTTGCTCATCCTGTTCTTGTTTCCTAAAATGTCGTTCCTCTCTATCTATCCAATAACCCATTCCTGAAAACCAGTTTTGGTCTCAATCCACTGAGGTCTTCATCAGCTACTGTGGTTCACTCTGTCTCTACATGACAAATTGCTCTCAATATCACAGAAATGATCGTTTTATTTCTCTATCTTTCATGTGCCTTAATTTTGTCCTCCCACCCGACAGCTCTACAAAAAAAAAAAAAAAAAAAAAAACCTAAGACAGAGTCAACATGGTGAAACCCCGTCTGTACTAAAAATACAAAAAATTAGCTGGGCATGGTGGCGCGTGCCTGTAATCCCAGCTACTCAGAAGGCTGAGGCAGGAGAATTGCCTGAACCCAGGAGGTGGAGGTTGTGGTGAGCCGAGATCGCGCCATTGCACTCCAGCCTGGATAGCAAGAGCGAAACTCCGTCTCAAAAAAAAAAAAAAAAAAAAAAAAAAAAAATTCTTTTAGATACACTACAACTTAACTGTAGAGATAGAATTATAATATAGATTTTCTGACACAGACCAAGGCTGTCTGTCTTACACTGTAATATCTTATTTAAAGGGGGAATAAAAATACATGGGTTATCCAGGATTCATCCCCTAAGGCTCCTATCTAATCCACACCCAAATTACACAGAGAAGAACACAAGGGTGATGAAGGAAAGTTTCATTCCCAAACTGGTACTGGAAAAACAGGTACTAATGCTAAATAAAATGTTATCATTACGAAGTACTCTCACACATGTGATATCATGTAATCCTAACAACCACCTGATAAAGAGATACAAGTTATCATCATCTCCAGACAAAAAATGTATGTGTTTTGTCCACTAAAGTCCAAGAGCTTAGTAATTTATAGAGCTAAGCTCAAATCCACAACTTCAAACTCAAAACACAGATTATTTTCTTCCCCTCTTTATCCAAAATTAAGCACTTCATTTTACAGTGACGTTCTGTAATTAGCTCTCAAAGTTGATGAATAAATACAAACACTGTAAATCATGAGTTCTAAATGTTTTCTGAGTTCATAGGCAGACCCCTTAAAAAATCAAATCTATGAAACCACTGAATAGGCTAAAACAAAACAAAACAAAACAAAACAAAAACCCACAGTTTTTTTCAGGCTTGTGGGCCCCTGTTAAGAGCCCTATAAAGGACTGTAAGTTAAAGAACAGAGGTCCTTATCAAATCTATGAAACCACTGGATAGACTGAAAAAAAACACACACACAGTTTTTTTCAGGCTTGTAGGCCCCTGTTAAGAGCCGTATAAAGGACTGGAAGTTAAAGAACAGGTTATTTATGCTCCTATCATATGCTTCACATTACACAGCAGAGAGCACAGAATAAAGATTTCTAAAGTAAATGAATGACTGTAAAGACCTAATTTTCTTGATATTGGCACTGAAAGTCATGAAGCCTCTAGTAAGTCGTATATTTTTAAAGTAATAGAAAAAGCGAATGTAGGGAAGTCATTAACAGAGAAGGAACAAACCAAAATTAATGAGTTACACTGCATGCTAAGAACTTTATTTGATACCATTTTTCAGCTTCAAAGAAGCCTCTAAAGTAGTTATTATCTGTATTCTTTTAGTTTGCCAGAAACTTAAGGTAAATGGCCAAGCAAGGATATAAATTTAAATCAGTCTAGGATGGAAAACACCTGCTTTTTCATTAAGCTTGATAGCACTGAAGGTTTTCAAAAGAAAAAAAAACTTAAGATATTAAGTGAAAAGAAAGGTGACTATGGAATCAAAAACAGAGAAAGTATTGCAATAACAGTAAAGAATAACAGGAAACTAAGATAAATAACCTAGATTATAAAATATTTAATTGGGTGGGAGAAAAAAACAAACTTAAGAACAATTCAATTCTAATTCAAACTAACTTACCGGATAACATTAGACTAACCGCTTTACCTTTCTGGGACTTAGCTACCTCATCAGTAAAATTATGGGCGTTGGGTGGCATAAAATCCTAAATTTCTAAATTCCTTCACAAGTTTCAAAACACTGTCACAGTTATTTCATTTCACTACACTGAGCAAAAACTGTGTTTTATTTACTGACGTATCCCCAGCACCTAGGTGTTACAAAGTATGCCCAAAATGTTAATTGAGTAAGATGAATTTTGATCCAGACAATTATCCTGAGAGGAACACAGAACAGGGCAGGATTATTACACTTAATTTATGTATGAGAAAAACCAAGGTTCAAAGTGTAAAGACACTTGCTCACAGTCCCATAGCTAGAGGTGGAGCTAGAATGTGAACTCAAATTTTCAATTTGGGGAACTAGTTCAAATCTCTTTCCAGGTCTACATGTGTTACACATTTTTATACACTTTTAAATACTCAGGACACAATAATAATTAACTCTTCTTATTCTTACCCTTTCAAAGAAAAAAGTCATCAGGATAGTGTTACTACAGAAATTAATAAATAAATATTTAGAAGAGTTATCTGAAAGAATATCTAACAACAATATTGCATATGATATGAGATTAAATCCAAGCTCTGATTTTCTTTGATTATACCAATTACATTTTCTTACTTTCTGTGTTCCACAGTGAGTCTACATCTATAATTCTGGCTGGCAACTTTGTAAACACTTGCTCCTAATCATGACGGAGGAGGAATACAAATCTATCTCTATAACTATTACTGTTCAAACCATAAACCTTATGGCAGGCTCCCAATAAGGTTGGGAAATACATCCCATTGCCCTTCCTCTAGAGTAAAGAGCCCGAAAGGCAGCCTGAGCTGGAAATACCTAGCAGGGCAGTCTTTGTGTGTGATGGTAGCAAAGTATTTTAATGGAAAAAAAAAAAAAGTAAACAAACTCATCCAAACAAAAAACCTTTCTTTCAATAATAAATAATTGCTAGAACATAAGCATTCCCTTTCATATAATGTGGCCCATTAAAAGGCTTTCAAAAAGTTAGACATCGATGATGGAAAAAAAAAAATCCTTCAAAAATAAAAATGAAAGTAAAGATAATTTAGACATATGTGAAATAGCCTCCCATTAAAAAAAAAAAAAAAAAATCCTAGTAGTTTGAGTACAAGAATAGAGGCCAAAATACTTTTGTCATACAGGAAGCAGTATATAGCTGGTTTGTAAAGTAAGAATTTCAGTTTATCTGACAGGAGAAGTTTCTTAAACTCACCAAAATATACTTCTTTTCTGAAAAATACAAATTTGAATATTCTCCACTGACTTATGTTTCTTCAGTCCATTCTCCTCCAAGAGGACTTCCAATAGGTATATGCCATGATTAGGAGAAGAGTGAAGGCAAAAAGCAACTATAGTGCAACTAACCTATTTTCATAGCACTCACATAAAACAGAGGTTCTAGGTAAGAGTGGGGAATAGTATCAATAAGTGGGGTAACAGATTTGAAAAGTCACCTGACTTGGACCCTAAAAAAAAAAATTACCACACAGACTCAGCAGGGCTTACTCAAGATAAACATTCTGTAAAAACCTCAAATCCGGGGTTATTTAAAGGTTTTAAAGGCTACAGTTCTAAAATCTTAGAGTTATCCCACAATAATAATCTGCTGTCCTACTTACCTTTCAATAAACAATTCCTCCCCTTGAAAGTTATTTTCCTTACTGGTTCAAACTATACATCTAAATTTTTCTGCATAAATACAATGCAGTGTCCTTACCTAGTAGCAAACTGAATTAGTGCATTTTGAAGAGTCTGCCTAATTTCAAGAAGAAAAGATTCATCATCGCTTAGTGTATAATACCAATACTGGACATAATCCCTCAAGGAAAACTGGATAACCTGTAACAAAAATATTGGGGGAAAAAATTACAACTTTTTAAGATTTAAAAAGATACAGATAAGATTTTAAAAGTATGCTGTATCTGCCAATTTATATTTATTCTCTACATATTAATTTATGGTGGTAAATGCCTGCCTTCATTACAAAAGCATCGACATGCTAAAAACCATTTGAAACATTTTTAAATTATCCTGGTATCGCAACTTACCTACTGCTTAGATGAAAAAAAAAAAAATTAGGTCGGGCGTGGTGGCTCACGCTTATAATTCCAGCAATTTAGGAGGCTGAGGCGGGTGGATCATGAGGTCAAGATACCAAGACCATCCTGGCCAAAATGGTGAAACCCCATCTCTAATAAAAATAAAGAAATTAACCAGGCATGGTGGTATGCACCTGTAGTCCCAGCTCATCGGGAGGCTGAAGCAGGAAAATTACTTGAACCTGGGAGGCAGAGGTTGCAGTGAGCCGAGATCATGCCACTACACTCCAGCCTGGTGAGAGGGTGAGACTCCTTATCAAAAAGAAAAAGAATTAAAACACTATCTATGGCCAAGGCCCCCATAAATCCAGATAAAGACAGAGTTTGCAGAAATAAACTTTCCACGCTATAATCTAATAAATAAATCAATCAGTTTAATGAAATGAGATTTAAAATAATAAAGAATATAATTCCAAAAAAACCCCATTTTTTTAAAGATTATATCAGATCCATTGAAGTCTAATTATAAAAATGATACAGGAGTTCACTTAATTTTACTAATACCTCTGATACTGCCAACAGTATTTAGACAATAAATAGTAAATATACAACCTCAATGCCTAATTTTTACAAACCAGATAAACTAAATATTAGTAATAAATTTTAAATTCTAAAGTACAGATTTTTATAATAATCATCTAATCAAACAAACATCAGTGAAAAATATTTCAGGGGGCATAGTTGCTTACTTATCTCTAATTTTTAAATGTTTTTGGATCCAATATTTCATTTTCATTTTTAAATTTTCATTTAAAAGTTAATAAAACCAGTAGGAAAAAAGCAGTCTAATTTACCACATCACTAAGTTTACTGATCAACAAAAGAGTAACACTTTTAACTGTAAAATTTTAAGAAACACTATCAAACGTCAGTAAAAAAACATTTTTTCTAAATGCAAATTCAATCAAAAGGCTTTTATATAAAGTAAACCACCTCATTAAAAGTGAGTTAATAAATAAGGAAGCATCTTCACATATAAAATTTGAGGATAACATTATGAAATTCCAGGATATTATTTAAAAAGCAAAAAGTGTTTCTTGATATCTTCAAGAGAAATACACCTAGCACACAACCTATGAAATTCAAATATCACAAGCTGAAACTCACTTGCTGGAGAGGTTCATCAATTATATTGGCACCAGTCAATCTTCTATCAATCTTAATAGTCCTGGCTTCCCGTTTCATTTCTTCTAAGCACTTAAAGAAAATCATAACATCTTACTGAGTAGTTTTTTAATCTAAAATCTCACTAGTTTAATTCCAATTGAATACTCAATGTAATATCCCTTCATCATCCTCAGGTCAATAACCTTATTTGAGGTGCTAGTATAAGCCAAACACTAATTATCAAGGTAACAAAACTAGATACTCCCCAAAAACCATTATCTTCAAAAATTCAATTAAATCAGCAAACATTATTTAGAATGTGGGAAAACTGCAAATGTATAGTTATGCTGCTGCCATATTTCAACATAACATTACAACCACAAAATTAAGTGTTTCATGTGAGTCAAACTGTCTTTATTGGACACTCTCCCTCTTTCCCCTACCATTTCTCAGTCCAAAACAGTATATCAGCTGCAAATAATTATATTTTAAAACTGATTTTACTTAGGAATACTTTTTGGCAACTTAAGAAAATTTCTCTACTTTTTAGTGTTCAGAAAGATCAGCGGCCTGAAAATCAGGTAAAAGGTAGTGAGAGACTCTTTAAAAAAAAAAAAACATAAATATATATAAATATAGAGATATAGACATAGATATCTACATTAAAAACACATGCTTCAAGTTATAATATGAAATCAATAATTTTTTTATAAAACATACTTATAAATCGTATTTTAGAAATAAAAATGAAATCCAGTTTTTATACCATCTATTCAAAAATGGATTATAGAAGACCTAACTAGTCTTGAATATAATTTATTACTATTAATGATCTTAATTCTTAAACTATATCCTATCCTCAGTATATACTATTCAAATGAATGTACACTATAAATAGCTAAGAAACGGTTCAAAAAAGAAAATGTTAATTTCCTAACACCTGTAAGCAAAGTAAAAAAATATGTATTAATGTGAGTCCTAAAGGAGAGAAAAGTTTCAGATTATAAATGTTTAAATATTAAAAATCAGTTTATTAATATAACAGTCAGTAGAATAGAGTGAAATTCTTTTATTAAAAGTAATGTAAAATCATATTGGACATTATCCTCTACATCTCCTGCATCTTAGCATAAACACACAAGTTAGTAACTGTAAAGAAAGCTGTTACTAGCATCAACTCTAAGCCATTTGCCTGTCTTAATACAAAATAAGGCCGCCCCAATCACACAAGAATTGAAGGTACTACAAATCTGAAGCCTATACAAATCCAATTTTATTTATAGAGTATGATCCTAAAAAAATAAGAGCATAGCACCAATGAAGATGATAAATATTAGGCCTGAATTATTAAATTTATAGATGCTGCATAATCTAATTATAAGCTATATTCTTCAAAGTGATGAAAAGTATCCATTTTTTCCCTCTGGTAACTCTGCAATTTATTTCATTCAAACCAAAATATTCACTGACATTCTTACAAATCATATGCATGATGCTTTGAAATTCTATGATAAGACAGCAGGAAAAATACCCAAAATAAACTAACCAATTTATTTTTCTCAAGTTTGTATTTCCACTTTTTAAATCTAACACTAAGGAAATGTTTAAGACAGCCTTTAAAAATATATTTCCTAAGTATAATTAGACAATCTCCCATTAATTTCCTGTGAGCATTAGTGAATTATAGGAAAATTTGTCAAGCTATGTACTCTATTGTCATTGCAAAGAACTGGACTTTGAGGTTTCATATTCCCTTAAACTATTTACCTTAGGAACCCCAGTTGATGTTGGAGGAAGAAATGAGTGTTCACACTGTTCTAGGTACTTCTCTGAGTTTGTTTTTCCAAACAGGAGAGTAACCACTAAACCCCTAGGAAGAAAAATTTATCACAAATATAAAAACAAAATTTTCCTATAATTTAATCAATCTACTACAAAGAATACTTCTCAGAGTTCACAGATGGCTTGTCATTCACTAAAAAGTCGACTTTGGTAAAGCAAGAAATTGACAGATTTTATTAGTTTCTGAAGTTTAAAACAACTATAAACATTTTGTGAATTACACAATAATAACTTTTAAAGTTTTAATCCAATATATTTCCTACAGAATCTTAAGTGACATTTTCAAACTGAAGAAAAATCAGCCCTCATTAAACAAGTAGGCTAGCTAATAACCATGGATAAAGACAAATGAGAACTAAATATGTAGCTAAATGACCAAATTCTATAGTTCTGTTAACCAATTAACATGAGGTATTATATTTCGATAACTTGCCAGTATGAATATAGAATAAATAAAGGCCACTCAGGGAAAAAATAATCCAATCTATGATTTGTTTAAAATAAGGCTGGAATTAGGAAAATATAAATGGATCCCAAAAAGGTTAATTATTTTTTAAAATAATTACAAGACACAGGAAGATACATGGTGATGTAGAACTATTTCACTCTAACTATTAACTAAATATTATCAGTATCTCATAATTTAAAATTTACCAATAAAGCAAAGTGCTGGAAATCCATCAAAAAATTTTAATCTTATAGTAATCTTATAATGATTCAAAGACTGTAATGACAGGAAGGGAACAGTAAAAAATTACATACTGTCAGTCTCAACTACTGAAAGGAAGATTCCCTATGTCCTCCCTTTTTTGTGGCTACCTGCCCTCTCACTAGTCTTCAGTACAAGTATCACAAAGTAGGGGTTGAGGGTAGAGAATATAAATAAAGTCAAATCAGTTTATGTCATTAATTCTGCTTTTGTGGTTTTTTGTAAAAGACTGGTCTCAGAATTACTGCTAAATTTCATCTATCTGTGTTAAAGCTGATATTAAGATTCAAGTTGGCTTGATATTTCAGTTTTGCCTGGTTATTAAGCATATTTACAGACACAATAAAATATTTACATTAACATTGTGTTATTAAAAACATTATCAAGAAACAGACTAAGACATTAACTTTTGCCCACAAGTGTGTAACGACAGGAAGGCAAGATAAAGAGCCGTCTGATTTTAAAGAAATCTAAATAGTAGTTTCAGCTGCAAAGTTTAAGTAACAATTTAAATTTCAGTAGAGTACAATAAATAATTATATAACCCAACTAATATAACAGAACGCCACAAAATAACCATAATACAGTACTGAAAGTATCCTACAACAATGACAAATCCCCATGTGTTTTTTTTTTCCAAAAGCATTCTTTATATTAAAAAAAGAATGGGTGTTAACCTTGACTGTAAGCAAAACATATACATCATCAACAATTTAAAGAGTAAACTGCAGAACTTAAAAACTTAACTTTTATTAGCAAAGAGAGACAGAGAGAGAGAGAGAAAGAGAGAGGGTTCCACAGACCCTACTATGTGACTCAATACTGCCTAAAGATTGTTTTAGTACAAACTGTCCTCTAGTATCCCACCTTACCTCCAAATTCTTAAAAAATTTTGTAAGCATCCGAAAGATTTTTTTGAAATTATTCCTTGATAAATTATGACATTCGAAAAAGGAGTAACAAAGGTTCTCATGACTTTAAAAATGAATAAACTTTGTGCAGAATCTGGTGGTGGTGGTTTTTTTTCTAAGATATAAAAATTTTAAAAATGAATACATTGATCACTCCTCTTTTTCCCAAATCTTATTTGGAGCAATTGAGTTAAAAAGGAATAATTCTTCACTTATCCACCTTCCAAGAGCTCCTACCTTACCCTGCAAAGCTGCAATATTCTCCCTTTAAAGTATTAGGGAATACTGTGAAATCCTTTTCCTTCACTCTTACAAGGGCTAATTCAATTCATAAAATTAGAAGAAATTTTTACCTTTCAAAAAAAAAAAAGTCAAGACTAATAATTTCCTTTCCAATCAATAAATGTAGCCTTGACTCTGAGAGGGAGAGGTACAACCATGTCACTATTTAGCCATGCTGTGGCCTTAACAGCAACTGAGGAGTGTAATTTAGAAACCCATTTGGCTGCAGATCTGTATTATCTTCAATCATCTTTATCACCAATAAAGACACTCTGAATTCTTTGGCTGATGTAAGTTTAAATGTTTCAGTACACACTATCATATCTCGGCCATTAATATGAAAATACTAAATCTAACACAAAATATAGTTTTATGGAGAGCCCTTGATGTAGCTGCTCATTTATTCTCACTTATTCAAATGTATGCTCCCTAAAGAAAGACTATACATGTCTATCAAATCTGTACCCCCAAAAAAAGCGATAGATATATTTAGAAACTACTCCTTCAGTGTCTTACAGTTTCTCAAGCTACTGTTTATATATGCTATTCAATTTAGCTAAATACTCTAAACCTATAGGCTCAAACAACTCCTCCAAATATCTGGGGTCTCAAAAGATTGTTCAGAAAGAAATCAGTGTTCATTCCACAACTAATTACACAAATACATCGTATAAACATACATACACACACATTAACAACAAAATACTCATTTCAGCTAAGTTACCTGGTGACAGTGTCTAAATAGCAAACATCCCTGGTCTATACATTTTCTAATATTTCTTTGTAATTCATGTCTGACACCAAATGTTCTGCATACAAAGCTACAATAAATTATGACTGAAACCTCTCTTGTACAGATTTATCAACTTAAGGAAAAATATAAACATAAACCAAATAACTATAACGAGAAAACCACAAAACCAGGTATTTAAATTTTCTAGACCAAAATGACAACATTCATTAAAGGAAAAGATTAACATTACTGTTTGAAGTCCAATCAATGAAACAATTTCTATAAAGTAAAACTCATGTGTAGTCTCAATTTAACTTACTTAACATAATGCAAAAAAAATTTCAACTTTAAAGGAGAAATAACACCAAAAAAATTTTTTTAATCTTTAAAACTACATATTACCACCAAAAACATAGTTCGTATCTTTAGAAATGGACATTTTATTATTGAAGGACTACCCGTATTTCTGATACAAATAATGATAATCATTGTTTTTATTTGTACAGGTATCTTCATTTTTTTAACTTCAGGAAAAGCAATTTATTAAAAATGGCATTCACAAACAAATCTTACTCTCGTTTCTCACAGTCACTGATTTCCATTTGAACAAGATATGACACACAAATTGTAAAATTATAATTGAGTATACTTACCCACCCACAAAGCAGAGGATATAAAATGTCAAATAAAATATTACAAAGGGTCCAAAGGTTATTAGAAACAGGACAATGCCAAGGCTTCCCCATCCCCATATGGATAGACTGGCCTGAAATAAAGCAAAAAACGTTAAGTAAATAAGTAAATAGTTCTCCATATGAATTAGAAAAGAACCAACAAAATTTCGACATAGTTTTAAGTTTCTTCTTGTAAACATTTAAGGTATTATTTCAGTAACTTTTGAAAATGTGAAGTGTACATTTGAAAATTTATTTCCAAAAAACAATATACAAAATCTATATACAGACAGATTTATAGAGCATCTACAATTAATTTTTTAAAATGCTAGTGATAATGCAAAGGTATAGGACAAAAATAGCTACACAAACTGTTAAATGAAATTCTGGCATGAGAAATACAACAAAGTACATATAAAAAACATTTTTATAATTATATTTACAAACATATAAATAAAGGATAAGTAGGCTACAAAGTTATACTTATTTAGAATATTGCAACTTGAAACTAAGTCCCAATACTACAGAATAAGCAGACACTTTTTCAGAAATTCAAATTTCAAGGTAAGAAATGCTTATCTCATTGAAAATTGTGATATTATTTTACTCAAAATTTTGTGTAGAAACTCATACAATTATAATTACAAAAGTTCCAACTTCCAGTTACCAAAATTTACCATGAGCTCAACAAAGCATCACCAGAAAGAATTTGTTCATTAAAAAAAAAAAACTATTTCATGCAGAATTATACTATTTTAGCCAATAAAAAACTGTTCTTTTATTAAAGGCAAACTGGATTTTGTCAACTTAAGTCAGGCGTCCCCAAACTTTTTACACAGGGGGCCAGTTCACTGTCCCTCAGACCACTGGAGGGCCGCCACATATTGTGCTCCTCTCACTGACCACCAATGAAAGAGGTGCCCCTTCCCGAAGTGCGGCGGGGGGCCCGGATAAATGGCCTCGGGGGCACATGCGGCCCGCGGGCCGTAGTTTGGGGACGCCTGACTTAAGTCATTATAAATAAATACATGTATTCAACTCAACAAGTTCCTATATCCATTCGCCTTGCACTGTGAGGTAGTACACAAAGGAAGCATTTGTCCCACTCATTTCATCAAGGAACATAGAAAAGAATGTCCTATAGGAATCAAACAATTAGCCACTGAACCAAAAGAAAATAATAGAAAGCATTATAAGATGCTACACTAAACAAAATTAATGACCCAAAAAGCTATAGAACAGACAGTAAATGCTGTGAATTATGAAAGAAAGGGGGGTTTTATGTATTCATTCATTCATTCACTCACTCACTCACCATTCACTGACTGCTTCCTCTGTGCCAAGCACAGTTTAAGGTACTGAGGATACCACAAGGGAATAAAACATACCCTCATAAATCTACTTTCTAGTAAGGGGAACACAAGCATACCCTCATAAGTTCACATAACTTCCTACGTTGACATTCCAGAAGGGGGAAAAAGAAAATTAACTAAGTAAATATATAGTTATATCACATGGGGATAAGTGCTATGGAGAAAAATAAAGCAACTGTATAGGGCTGGTCTAAGCAACTCCAAATGATTAGATGACAAATCAACAGAAATCCCGGACAAGATTTATTTAGGGAGACATAAAATACTGAGTCTTTCTATCCCAAAATGACATTTTTTCCAATTGATCATATCTACTTTTACGTCCTCAGAGTTATATAACTCTTATTTACTCATTTGTGTTTTTTTAATCCTTGTTCCACATTCTGGCCACTTTTATCTTTGAACCAAAGGACAGAATACCTGCTAATGAAGTTTCTGCTCTGCCTCCATGCTCTCTCCTCTCTGAATCAGAAGGGAATACTATTTCAATTATTGAAGTGTCCTCCGACTTCCTTCTAAGAGCTGTTAAGACAGACACATTTATTCAGAAAAAAGTACAGAGTCACTAAGTTCCTCTGATAATACTTTGCTGAAGTTCCTGATCCACAATACAATATGGCATGCCACTCTCTCCTGGCCTGTATGTACAGCTTCCACTGAGAAGTCTGCTGTCAAATGTACTGGAGCACCACTGTATGTTATTTGTTTCTTTTTCTCTTGCTTTTAGGATCCTTTCTTCATCCTTGATCTTTGAAGTATCTTGTATCTTGAGGTAGTCTTAGGTTAAATCGGCTTGGTGTTCTATAACCTTCTCGTATTTGAACACTGACATCATTTGCTAGGTTTGGGAGGTTCTCGGTTATTATCTATTTGAATACATTTTCTACCCCTAACTCTCTATCTTCTCTTTAAGGACAATAACTGTCGTATTTGCCCTTTTGAGGCTATTTTCTAGATCGTGTAGTTGTGCCTCCTTCTTTCTTATTCTTTTTTCTCCTGTGTATTTTCAATTAGCCTGTCTTCAAGTTCAATCATTCCTTCTTCTGCTTGATAAATTCTCTTAAGAAATTCTGATGCATTCTTCAGTAGGTCAACTGCATTTTTCAACTTCAGGATTTTTGCTTGATTTTTTTAAATTGATTCAATCTCTTTGTTATATTTACCTGACAAGATTCTTAATTCCTTCTCCGTATTATCTTGAATTTTGCCATATTTCCTCAAAACAACTATTTTGATTTCTCCACCCAAGAGGACACGTATCTGTCTCCAGGATTGGTCTGTGGTATCTTCTTTAGTTCACTGGGTGAGGTCAATGTTTTCCTCAATGGTCTTGACACTTGGGGATGTTCACTGATGTCTGGACTCTGAAGAGTTAGGCATTTATTGTAGTCTTTGCAGTCTGGGCTTGTTTGTGCCAGTCCTTCTTGGGAAGGCTTTCCAGGTATTTGAAAAAACTTGGGTGTTAGGATCTATGTTTCTAGTCACTGTAGCCATATATACATTAGGGGCAACGTAAGCCTACTAAAAATGTTGTGGCTCTGAAAGGCTTGCAGTATTGCCTTCATGGTCCTGAATAAGATGTGGAAGAATTATCTAAACTACCACACAGAGAATCTTGTTCTCTTCCCTTTCATTCTCCCAAACAAACGAAGTGTCTCTCTCTCTCTCTCTCTCTCTCTCTCTCTCTCTCTCTCTCTCTGTTAAGTTGTATGGAGCTGGGGGAGGTCCACTGTGACTGCACTGGATTAGACCTGAAGCTAACAAAGCACTGGGTCAAACCCGAGACCTGTGGTAACCATGGCCTGGCCACTGCCTATGTTCACTTGAGGCCCTAGGGCTCTACAATCTGCAGGTAGTAAAGCCAAACAGGCTTGCGTCCATCCCTTCAGGGTGGCAAGTTTCTCATTCCTGAGCAGGTCAAGAGATGCTGTCTGGAAGCCAGGGCCTGGACGTGGAAACCTCAGGTATCTACCTGCTGCTCTACTCTACTGCAGGTGAGCTAGCCCCCAAGCCACAAGACGACGTCCTTCCCATTCTTCCCTCCCCTTTCCACAAGCACAGGAGTCTCTCCCCACGGAGAGCACAGTCCCAGGCCCATGGCAAGTACTGCCTGGCTACCAATATTCATTCAAGAACAAAGGACTCTTCTGTCAGCTGTGGTGAATGGGACTCTCCCTTCAAGGCAGTGAGCTCCCCTCTGGTTCAAGGTAGGCCCAGAGATGCTATACAAGAGCCAAGACCTAGAATCAGGGACCCCAAGGGCCCATCTAGTGCTGTATCCCTCTGTAACCAAGCTGGTAGCTAAGCAGCAAGACAAAGTCCCCTCAACTGTTCCCTCTCCTTTTCTCAAGCAGAAGTCCCTCCTCATAGTCACCACAACTGGAAATGTACTAGGTCACACCTAAAGCCAGCATTGCATTACCCAATACAAATGTCTCTGAATCTCATCCAAGGCCCATTCAAAGTACTGCCTGGGTACCACTGCTGATTATTCAGGGCCCAAGGGCTCTTTAGTCAGCAGGTAGTAAATCCTGCCAGGATTAGATCCTACCCTTCAAAGCAGTAGGTTCCCTTCTGGCAAGGGTGTGTCTAGAAATGCTGTCTGGGAGCTAGGGCCTGAAACAGGGGCCTCAGGACTCTGTGGTACCTGGTACCCTGTCCTACTGTGGCTAAGCTGGGATCCAAGCTGCAAGACAGAATCCTCTGCACTCTTCCCTCTCCTTTCCTCACGCAGAGTGAAGGAATATTTCCCAGAGCTGCAAGGTGCACTACTTGGGGTGGGAGGAAGGGTGGCATAAGCGCTCCCTTTGCCGCCCCAGCTCATATCTCACGGGTGGTGTGGTGGTTCCAAACCCAGCACAGCACCAGGACTTGCCCAGGAATTACACTCCTTGCGACCTAGCCTGACTTTCAAGTTTATTTAAGACCCAAGAGCACTTTGGCCTGCAGTGGCAAGGCTTGCGAGACTCAGGTTCCAACCACTGGGATGGCCAATTCCCCTTTGCCTAGGGCTGGTCCAAACGCAATTTCATCCATGGGCTCTGGCTGAGTTTTACCCAATGCAAAGTCTCACAATCACTGTGTTCTCCCTCCCCCAAGTGTATGGATTTTCTCTCCCCACCACTCAGCTCCTGCCAGGGGATGAGGGAGGGCTGGCACTGACAATTCAATACTGTCTTTCTTACCCTCTCCAGTGCCTCTTGCAGCAATATGAAGTTAAAACCAGCTACTGTGGTGAGTCATCTGATTTTGGGTTCTTATGAAGGTGTTTTACATGTACATGGTTGTGCAATTTGGAGTATTTTCTCAAGAGTTGCCCTATAATGGAATCCGAAGCATAAATTTCTTTAATAAAGGAGTCCCCAACCCAATCCCCAGGTTGCAGGCCAGTTAGGAACTTGGCCGCACAGCAGGAAGAGAGCATGTGGCAAGTGAGCATTACCATCTGAGCTCTGCCTCCCATCGGATCAGCAGCAGCATTGGATTGTCATAGGAATGTGAACCCTGTTGTGAACTGTGCATGTGAGGGATCTAGGCTGAGCACTCCTTATGATAATCTAACTAATGCCTGATGATCTGAGGTGGAAGAGTTTCATTTCAAAACCATCTCCTCTACCTCAAAGTTCAGGGAAAAACTGTCTTCCATGAAACTGGGGTCCCGGGTGCCATAAAGGTTGGGGACCGCTTTAATATATTATCATTTTCTTTGCTAAATGTAA